TTATTTATTTATTGAGGAATGAGGAAGTGTAAAAGACCAGTCATTGCCCAAAGTGATCATAGAATCATGAATCAGACTGTTTTGGGTTGGGAGGGACCATAAATCTCCTCCAGCTCCAGCCCCCTGCCATGGGCAGGGACATCTTCCACTAGAGCAGGTTGCTCCAAGCCCCTGTGTCCAACCTGGCCTTGAACACTGCCAGGAATGGGGCAGCCACAGCTTCTCTGGGCACCCTGTGCCAGCACCTCAGCACCTTCACTGGGGAGTGCTTCTGCCTAAGAGCTCATCTCAGTCTCCCCTCTTGCAAGTTAAAGGCATTCCCCTTGTGCTGTCCCTACAGGCCCTTGTCCAAAGCCCCTCTCCAGTTTTCCTGTAGCCCCTTTAGGCACTGGGATCTGCTCTAAGGTCTCCCCTTACAGCGCCTAGGGGCTGTGTGTAGGATGGTACCAGGCACGGGATTTGGTGCACTAAAATTAGTCGAGGGTATCTGGAGCAATAATCTTAGTCAGTTGCTGTTTGTCTCAGCTCTGTCATTCCAGCTGAGGCTTAAAGAGGTGCCCTGCTCAGCAGAATGCTCCAGGAGGCTTTTCGTTAGTGCCCATGAAGCGATTCCAAATAAGATCTCAGTGTTGTGTGTGAGGCCACAGCCTGTAGAACAGTGGTGGAGCTGACAGCAACGCCTTGAGGACAAAATAGGGTCTTCTGTGGAGAATAAACTCTTGACAGCTTTCTGGGAGACATAAAAATATCCCGAGTTTTCCCTTGTCTTTTGGAAATGATAAATAAGTTTTGTTTTGTTTTTTATTATCCTCCTTGATAACTTCACAGCTATTACACCCTTTTATCCATGAATTTCTGGATCTTGAGAAAAGCAGGGTTGGAAAGGAGTTGATGATCTCCAAAAGCCCAACTTCAGGAACTTGATGGAAGTCAATAGTATAAATCCCATGAAAGGGCTTCTGGTCTGCCTTAAGTACTACTTCCATGTCTCACTTGTTGCACTGGAGAGGAAGACGTGGGAAAGGACAATGACCACTTTATACTGGGCTCTTTTTCCCTTTGGATTGTGGTGTTTTTTTGGTGGCTGCTCCTAATGTAGGTGGGAAGAAATCTGAATTAATTCCAAAGTGTGTGCAAGTGGAGATCAGATTGATTAGAGAATTGCTTGCTGGTTTGATTTAGGCTGCCTGTTGTTGTTCAGCCTATGAGTGCTGTGGAGATGCCCTGCATAAATGTCTTTTTCCCCCTCAATTTGCATAACTAACTTAATTAGTAATGTCTTGAGGGATACTATTGCTTATATAAAAGCTTGAGTTTCATTAATCTTGTTTGATATTCCTGATCAACTGCATGCAAGCAGCGAAGGCAGTGGGAAGAGTATCAGTTTCTTTAAAAATAGCTGCTTTTTATGTAATATTATCAAATGCTCACATCCTTTCTTCATGGACTTGCATCCCAGTACTGACTGCTGGGAGGTGTCACTGGTTGTACAGTGAAGGTAAGAGTCTTGCTTCCCTCTTGTGTTCTCCAGCTGTTAAGATAGGCAGCCAGAGATTGTGGAATCAACCAGGTGGGAAAAGCCCTTTAAGCTCATCCAGTCCAACTGTTCCCCAGCACTGCCAAGGCCATCACTAACCCATGGCACTGAAGGCCTCGGCTACACGGTGTGTGAACACTTGCAGGGATAGTGACTCCAGCACTGCCCTGGGCAGCCTGTTCCAGTGCCTGAGCACCCTTTGGGGAAGGAATTGTTCTTCATCTCCATCTAAACCTGCCCTGGTGCACCTTGAGGCCGTTTCCTCTTGTCCCATCCCTTGTTCCCTGGAAGCAGAGCCTAGCGCCCTCCTGGCTCCATCCTCCTGTCAGGCAGTTGTAGGGAGCGACGAGGTACCCCTGAGCCTTCTCTTCTCCATACTGAACCCCCCAGGTCCCTCAGCTGTTCCCCATCACACTTGTGCTCCAGGCCCTGCACCAGCTCTGTTGCCCTTCTCTGGCCCTGCTCCACCACCTCAATGTCTCTCTTGCAGTGAGGGTCCCGGAGCTGAACACAGGATTCGAGGTGCAGCCTCACCAGTGCCCAGTGCAGGGGCACAATCACTGCCCTGGCCCTGCTGCCACACTGGTGCTGATGCAGGCCAGGATGCCAGTGAGATGCTCTTTTTCTTATGAGTTAAATATACCTTTTGATTATTTTTATCAAGGGATTCTCATTCGTCTCAGTGTTTTCCTCTTCACGTCTTTTCCAGATAAACAATCTCTCTTTCCAAGTATTACTAGAAGTTGTGCACAGGGATTCTCTGCAGGGAGGCAGCATTCCAGCCCCTAGGAGCCTTGGTGCAGCCAGGTTGCTTTTCCCTGCTTCCCCCACAGAAGCAGGTACCAAAGCAAGAGGAGCTCAAGGAGAGTTCTCTGCTTGCCAGCAGCTTCCTTATGTGTGCTCTGGTTTTAATGTTTTGTTTTTTTTTAAGCAGAGGAGCACTGCAAGAAGCATCCAAGGTCTCCTGGCTCCCATGCTGCTGCCATAGTTGGGTTTGGGATACATTCTGCAGGCTCGAGGGCTGTGTCTGAGTTGCGTTTCTGGCTTTAAGATGAAAGAGGCTAGATTTAGATCTTAGGCAGAAGTTCTTCCCTGTGAGGGTGCTGAGGCGCTAGCACAGGGTGCCCAGAGAAGCTGTGGCTGCCCCATCCCTGGCAGTGTCCAAGGCCAGGTTGTATGTGGCTTGGAGCAACCTATTCTAGTGGAAGATGTCCCTGCCCATGGCAGGGGTTGGAACTGGATGAGCTTTAAAGTCCCTTCAACCCAAACCAGTCTGGGGTTCTGTGATTGTCATTCACAATAACCAGTTTCCCATTGACTGGTTTTGGGCATGCTGCCACACCAGTGAGAAGGTCAGAGTGAGAGCAATCTGGGATGTGTGTGCTGGAGGCCTGAAGAACAAGTGCAGGTCTAGCACAGGAGCATCCTCAGACAGTTGAATTCCTAAGAATCAAAAAAGTGCAGTTGGAATAAGGAAAGCTGTCACCTTGAATTCACACGATTCCCAGTTGTGTCTCTGAAGGCTTCTCTTTATGGATTCTCTATGGCCTAAGTTAGGCTAGATTTCCTCTAAAACCTGTGACTTAGGGGGTTAAGTTTGACCTGCTGGGTTTGTTCTCTCCAGCCTATGCAAAAATGCAAAATGCCTGGAGAAAAGGTAGAAAATATAAACTCCTATTTACTGGCACCACTTTGTTGTGCTCTGTTTCCAATCAGTTGTCAGACAAAGCGCATGGCTCAGGAGAGAATCAGGCTGAAATTGCAGCAGTGTGTGTTCGGGATGTAGGAAAGGACTTAACCCCATTACTCATCTGTTCTGACTTTGCTGAAAAGCGGTGGATCCCATTGTCCTGCTGCTCTTAGCTGGGAATTTATGAGCTGTTTCAGTTAAATAATGGAAGAAATTGAAGAAAATTGAGAGGAATGGAGTATCAAACTGAAGGATGACAGAGCTGGAGGCTGATGCCAGTCACTTGAAGTGTTGGAGGTTAAGTTCTTGCTCTTCTTCAAGTCAGAAGAACAGTGTCACGTCGGGTTGCTTCCACTATTCTGTAATCCAGGAAGGCCACTTCAGAAAGGTGTGACATGACTGTGTCCTTAAGATACTGATGTGAAATGTGCTGTCAGGAAGAACAAGATGGGTCCTTGCTCCTGTTCTTCATGGGTCTTACAACATGTACATGGGGTGAAAAGAAGCATTGAGGGAGAGCGGGACACTGTGCAGTCAGTTTGCTGACACCTTAATATGGATTGTGTAAGCTTGGAAAAACATCCCTGGCTTTTGGCGTGGTAAATCAGAATCACAGAATTCAAGGTTGGAAGGGACCTCAAAGATCATCTGCTCCAACCTTTTTAGGCAAAGCATGACCTAGACTAGATGGCCCAGCACCCTGTCTAGCCCAGTCTTAACAGTATTCAGGTTTCTTATAGCCCCTGCAGGCACTGGAGCTGCTCTAAGGTCTCCCCTTAAGGAGCCTTTTCCAGGCTGACCCAGCCCAGCTCTCTCACCCTGGCTCCAGAGCAGAGCTGCTCCAGCCCTCACAGCATCTCTGTGTCTTCCTCTGGAATTCTCCAGCAGCTCCACGTCCCTCTTGTGTTGGGGGAAGATGAAGAAGGAAGGGGAAGAAGATGAGAAAATACATTATTCTGTCTATTCTGTCTGTTAGTGCTGTGTTACACTCCTGTGCTGCTCTGGGTTGTGATGTTAAGATGTCAAGGCTGGTTGGAGATGTAGCATCAATGTGAGCATTCTCTTTCTGTTGGGGTAGTGAGAGAACACCATTTGATGCAGGGTCTGGCTGCTGTTGTCTTCTCTTTGATCAGGATCCTAGCATAAAAAAAAAAAAAATAGAATACCTGGATAGAGACAGGGGCTTGGTTAAACCCTCTTCACCAAGGCTCTGCAGCTGTGGGTGGGACTCAACAAGTTAAGCCAAGCTTAGTTCTCTTCCCACTTCCATCTATGAATCCCCTTTTAAAACCACGGCAAGGGCTCTTGTGGGGGCGGGTTCCTTGCTGCCGCCTAGAGGTGCTGGGGCCCCTGACCGAACGTGAGATACGTGTGGTGTTGCTGCAATTATTCTTGGAACAAGTGAAAATGACCCTCACGTTTCCCTGACAACTTACAACTTGCTTTTTGAAACCATGTCAAGAAAACAAGCATGTGTTCTTGAATGAGGTACAAGTCTCACAGCAGAGCAAGGGCCACGAGGGGCTGGGGCTGTTAACCCGTCACTGCCACAGCAGGGGAAGAACATGTTTGCCCTGTGCTGCAGAAGGAGCACAAGTGGAAAGAGAATGTCTGATGTGGTGCTGGTAGCTTTGCAGAGTGTTGGTCACCCATGGTCTTGCTCAGAGCTCTCGTTGGGTTGAAGGGTTGCATGGGAGTTTCTTTATGGTGGTAAAAAACTCTTTGGCTTTCAGTTACCTTTGGTTAATAACAGCTTTTTCCAATCTTTTCCAGGATAGGAAGCTTGAGGAAGAATTCACACTGGATGAAAATAATTTTCTGAAACTGGGAGTATTCCAGGAACTGTAACCCAAATGTTTCTCTGTCCGTGGAGAAGATTTCACATTTGAAATAACTTCTACTGAAGGTATGTACATCTCTTTTTTAAGCTCAGTAATGACAACATATTATATTATGTGTTCTGGTGGTTGCTGCTGAGATTGTTCTTGCTGTTTAGTACCCAAAGTCATTTGAGAGGGAGCTGTAGTGGCCCTGGGATGGTCCTTCTGAGGAGATGAGAACTGGTTCCTTACAGCTGAGCAGCTCAGCTCTGCAGTCTAGTCATGGGATGTGGGTCAGGTTACTCCCTAAAACCAGGTTTAGCTGGTAAGTGTCTCTCAGAACTTAAGCTGATGGGAAGAAGATAGGACTTCTTTCTTTCTAGTGACTGTCTGTAATTCTGGGAAGCACTTGTGGCTCTTCCAAGAAGTAGCAGTATGGAAATGACATGTAGTAAGTACATTTTGTCGTCGGGGTAGTCAGAGTGACCAGGCCATGGTTACTCACTGGTTTTCATAAGGTGAGACATTGGAAGCATCCAACAAAGTTATCAAGCTGGCAGTGAAGCAAACAAGAGGAACTGCTCTTTGGTGCAGCATGGGATTACACTGAGGATTTACAACTCAGAATTATTGGGATATGGACTGACTGCCTATGGGAGCCCTGGGATCCTCCTTGGTATCACCTGGAGCTGGCTGACTTGATCATTGTTCTGCTGCTGATTTGGTTATGAAGAGCTTTCTTAATGATACAAAGGCAAGAGATCTTGTGTAAAGCAACGTCTCCCAGGGGAATAAGTTATGAATTAAAGGAATTCTTAAAACTCCACAAGGAAGGAGCAGACACTGAGTTTTATTGCAGAAAAAGTGCGGCTTTAGGTGAGCTGTGAATAAAGATGCTGCTGCTGAGGGAGCTGGTAATATTTATGTTGTGTGTCAGACCTGATGGCTGGGAACTGGTGAAAATTAAGGGTAGACCGAGATGAGCTCTTACGCAGAAGTTCTTCCCTGTGAGGGTGCTGAGGTGGTGGCACAGGGTGCCTAGAGAAGCTGTGGCTGCCCCTTTCCTGGCAGCGTTCAAGGCCAGGTTGGACATGGGCTTGGAGCAACCTGCCCTACTGGAAGGTGTCCCTGTCTGTGGCAGGGGTTGGAACTGGAGCAGCTTTGAAGTCCCTTCCAACTAAAACTATGGCTCTGTGAACATTGCTCTGGAAGCCATCTGGGATCTAGAGCATATGGATGGTGCCCAGAGGTTAGTAATCATGTGGGTCAGTGACATACATAGAGATAAATAGTAGCAGGAAACGATGTAGCCCAGTCTGGCAAATTCTGCTCATCCCTTCTCAGCACCCTCAGTTACCTGCTCTTGCTGTCAATGGACACAGGAGAAGTTCAGAGCAGTGCAAGTGCAGGGTAGGCAGTGCCACCATCTGCCAGTCACCTGGGTGAGTGACCTGTCTGAAACATTCTGGCTGTAAAACCTTTGAGGGTCCTTTATAAACCTGCTTGATAGGAACTGGTGCAACCAGCTGGGGTCTTGAGCTCCGCTGAGCTTTCGGTCTCCATAACCATCTATGGCAGTAAGTTCTATGGCATTTCTTGGCTGCTTGATAACTTTGAGGTATCCCTGTTCTTGGGTTTACTGGGGGCTGTAAATAACTGTGCACCTCCTTAATACCATTCATGCCTTCTGCTGTATCTCCTGTTCTTCTGTGCTGTAGTCATGAATCAAGGCAAGTTTAATGCATCTTCCATTAGAAGCTGGGCTGCTTCATGTTCTGCTCAGTCTCTTTTAAGAGAAGCTGATCAGACCAGCTGCACTTTTTGAGCTCTGCTGCCTGTTCTGAGAGAAGCAAAGCAGACCTCGAGCAGTGAGATGCAATGTGGGATACTTGGGTGATGTCATGCCTCCTGTTTACTTGCTTGATCTTTGTTGGAATGACTTCTGACATGCTGGAGTGAGGCCAGAGAAGGGCAACAGAGCTGATGCAGGGCCTGGAGCACAAGTGTGATGGGGAACAGCTGAGGGACCTGGGGGGTTCAGTCTGCAGAAGAGAAGGCTCAGGGGTACCTCGTCGCTCCCTACAACTGCCTGACAGGAGGATGGAGCCAGGAGGGGGCTGGGCTCTGCTTTCAAGGAACAAGGGGTGGGACAAGAGGAAACGGCCTCAAGGTGCACCAGGGCAGGTTTAGATGGAGATGAGGAGCAATTCCTTCCCCAAAGGGTGCTCAGGCACTGGAACAGGCTGCCCAGGGCAGTGCTGGAGTCACCGTCCCTGCAAGTGTTCACACACCGTGTAGCCGAGGCCTTCAGTGCCATGGGTTAGTGATGGCCTTGGCAGTGCTGGGGGACAGTTGGACTGGATGAGCTTAAAGGGCTTTTCCAACCTGGTTGATTCTCTGATTCTGTGGTTACTTCTGCCTCTTTGGCTGCAGCACTGTACTGATATCCTTGACAGTATCTCAAAGATCATTCCAGGATCAAGATCTGTTCTGTTTGTATGTTAAAGTGTCTTGTTTCTTCAAAAGGACCACTGTTGCATCACAGGAGGGCTGCTTGTCTGCTGTTTCCTGGCTCTGGCACTTGGGTCAGGTAGAGCCCTCTGGAAGGAGGGGAAGTGGCTCCTTCCTGGGATCATCTGAGCATATCTGGGGGAAGAGATTCCCAGAGGATGGGATAGGGCAGGCAGAAGAGTTGAGAGTGTGTGAAAATACAGCAGGAAAGAAACTTGTGATTCAGGAGAGTGTGGGATACAGCTCAGATGAGCAAGGGGCAGAGGGAGAGCCTGGCTGCAGAATTGGTGGACAGTGAAGGAGTTCTTGAGGATCCAGAGGAAGCTGCAAGCATTGACTGGATGCAGAAAGCTCCTGACTTAGATGAAACCCAAGGCCTATGGGGAATGGCTTTAGCCTGCCAGAGGGGAGATTGAGATGAGCTCTTAGGCAGAAGCTCTTCCCTGTGAGGGTGCTGAGGCGCTGGCACAGGGTGCCCAGCAAAGCTGTGGCTGCTCCATCCCTGGCAGTGTTCAAGGCCAGGTTGGACACAGGGGCTTGGAGCAACCTGCTCTAGTGGAAGGTGTCCCTGTCCATGGCAGGGGGTTGGAACTGGAGGAGCTTTAAGCTTCCAACACAAACCATTCCTTGATTCTGTTATTTTTTTTATCTCTTTCTCTGTATAGGAAAGATGAAAACTAATTATTCTTATCGAGGAAATAAAAAGAGATTTTGTATTAAAACTCAAGGGAGGAAAAGCATAAAATAATCTTAAAATTCACATCAGGAATCCTAGCTGTCAAGACGAAAGCACCTGACTGCATTAAACACGACCTAGGGAAGACTCCTCAGTTGTGATGTAGCTGCTGAAGTTCCGTTTGTCCTTTTGTGTTCATAACAGAAGGGATGTTACAGGAAAGTCAGAAGGACTCAGGAATCCTTTCTTGGTGGAAACAAGCAGGATAATGTACTTCTCTCAGCATTTCCATGTGGTTCCACTTAGTAAGTAAGTGGAAAATGTTAAATATTTTATTATATCAGGAATGGGCTTAAATAGGCTTAAATAGAAACAATAAATCAGTAAATGTTGGTGTTTTCCTCCCAGTTTCCAGCAGGAGTTGCCTGGGGATTGCTGGCATCCACTCTCCGTTTTACTGGGCTTGGAATACCGGGAACATTATGAAAGGGTGGAAAATGCTGTGGATGTCTTGTACGTGTGCCCATAGTCAGTGAGGCTCAGGGTAGCCTCTGGTACCTACAGTACTGACTGCAGGGATAATCCTGGGCAAAACAACACAAATATAGAATCCAGGTATGAAGAGGAAGACAAAATCTGGATGGACCTCCCGGTGGATAAGATTCTGGCCGGATGGTCACACTCAAAGAGTTGTGGTCAATGGCTCAACGCTCAAGTGGAGACCTATGACAAGTGCTGTTCTTCAGGGGTCAGTTTTGGGACTGATCTTATTCAACATCTTTGTTGTGACATGGATACCGGGCTTGAGCACCCTCAGCAAGTTTGTGATGACGCGGAGCTATGTGGTGCAGTGTCATAGTGGAGGGAAGGGATGGGACCTAGAGGGACCTGGAGAAATGGGAATGTGTAAACCTCATGAAATTGAACAAGGCTAAGTGCAAGGTTCTGAACCTGGGTCAGGGCAATCCCAGCACAAACACAGGCTGGGGGAGACTGGGTGAAGCAGCCTCAGGAGAAGGATTTGGGGTGTTGGGTGAGAAGAAGCTCCCCATGACCTGGCTTCAGTGTGTGCTTGAGACCAGAACCCCTTGTGTGCTGGGCTGCACATGCAGAGCGTGAGCAGCAGCTCTAGGAGGGAATCCTGCCCCTCTGCTGAGCTCTGGGGAGACCCCCCCTGCAGTCCTGATCCAGCTCTGGGGCAACAGCACAGGAAGGATGTGGAGCTGTTGGAGTGAGGCCAGAGGAGGCCAGAGAGGTGCTCTGAGGGCTGGAGCAGCTGTTCTCTGGAGCCAGGCTGAGAGAGCTGGGCTGGTTCAGCCTGGAGAAGAGAAGGCTCCTTAAGGGGAGACCTATGATTCTGTGACAAGTTCACCAGAGATCCAGGGGAAGCAGGAAACGCACTGTGGTGGTGTTATTTTTGTTACAGCAGCCAAGGAAGCGTTGCAGGGCCCTATGAGTTTTGTGATAATGTGGAACTTGAGCCATGTATTTTAAATCTTCAGATCTGGAATGGACATGTGAAACTTTAAAACATGAATTTTAATCACCTGTTACTTTTGCAGATGCCTCCTGACTTTTTCTAGAACAGGTAGAGAGAGACCTTTGGACTAGACTTAATGGTGCTCAGGTGAAGGCTCTAAAAGGTCGCTTCCCACTTTCCCCTAGAAGAACTGTTAAATAAAATCCAGGCCACAAAGTGAAAATCATAGCATCCCAGACTTGTTTGTGTCGGAAGGGAACTTAAAGCTCCTCCAGTTCCAGCCCCCTGCCACGGGCAGGGACACCTTCCACTAGAGCAGGTTGCTCCAAGCCCCTGTGTCCAACCTGGCCTTGAGCACTGGAGGAATGGGGCAGCCACAGCTTCTCTGGGCACCCTGTGGCAGCGCCTCAGCACCCTCA